ACGACCATACATGAAACGGATAGATGGGAAAAAACAGGATAGACAATGGGGTGGGCAGGTATTTTGTTTCTGGTTGCGAAACACTATTCAAACAGAACTCAAAAGTTTGCATACTTCTGGGAAAGAATACGTCAAGAAGTTATCTACACTTATTTACTTTTAATCACCAAGAAATAAATTTTGACTCAGGCAGCCCCAGCTTTTGCCAGCCGTCTACTAAGAAGGGAGCGAATGCTAAGGAAAAATGTCGAACGGCTACCAATCAGGCATACATTATGATGATGAAACCAATTCCAGGTGAGTGCTCCTGCATCTAACTTTAAATGTCGGAGTTGATTTGAGAAGCCAGGCAGAATACCTAACACAGCCAATTCGGATAGAGCAGCACCCTATCCACACGCACACACAAATCAATCATGAATGCCTCGCAAGATAAGTGCATAGCGAAACAACATACTTGAGAGGCCTGTGTATTGAAAACAACGGCATTCTTATCATTGCCACCAGTGATGATGCGCTCCGGTACGGTTTCGCTCGCATCCAAGCAGAGGATGCCTGGAATACTAGGCGAGTGCATGCCCACCAAGGAGGCGATCTGTTTGTACTCGGAAATATCGCGAGACCTTGCCAATCCCTCTGGAATTGTCTTACCTCTCTTCTTTCGCTCCTCTGTCAGTTGGGCGGCGCGCTCCTGAAGTCGTGTAATCACCTGCTCAGATAGGCCGACCTCTTCTTGCAGCTAAAAAGTGACAGACAACCCGTGAATACACAACGAAACATCGCGAACACGGTTAATTTGGCAAAGTTACTTACATTGGCACTATCGGCAGCGGGAGCCTCAGACACGTCCTGTGCCTGCACAGCAGGTTGGGCAGCAGCACCGATGCCCGTGTGGGGTTTCAGTGTGGCCAAGGCCTCCCGAGCAGCAGTAACCTCCTTCATCAATCTAGACATAATCAAAAGCCCCATTATTAACATAGCTCTACTCCTTGAAGGCTGAATGCGATAGCCCCAATACCTCGAAATTACACGACAAGCAGCATCATGCTGATAGAGAGCATGTGAGAGCTCCTGTCTAGCCGTTTGAAGCTGCTGGCGAAGAGTGAACGAATGCAACATGACGGCATCCCACTCGTCCTGAAGAGTTTTTAGAATGGCAGGAATTGAAGTGGCATAAGGCGGTTTAGGACGCACCAATGGCGATGTTTTGACCTCAATTAGCTCTTCAGGGGAGAGAGGCTGCTGATTGATAGGATCGCAACCCGTTTCTGTGAGGTATTTTTCGATAAGACGACGCTCAAAGATGTGACCGGATCGCGGACTAAGAACGGGCTCTTCAGGCACCTCGTTACTGAGTGAACAGCAAAGTGACATGTTCTAAAATAGAAAAAAGACCGTGAAATACGGACAAACGTCATATCACAAAAGAGTACACAATTGAGACAGCCAGAGTTTATTTCTTAGCGAAGTGTACAGCAGGAGGCAACAAGTAACCAATATATCTCCACGTGCAAAGTCTAGCGCCGAGACTCTAAGAGGCGATGAGCGAGGCGATCATCCTAAGAATATCAAAATGTTGTGCAAATGAAACATACCCGAACAGATAGCCAAAGAAACTCATTACGTAGAACGCCAATTTCACCCATCCTTCTTTCATAGCCCTATTGAGCTCATTACTGTTGAGGATGGAGGTCGGATGGTACAGTCCAATACCTGATTTAACTGGACGTGTAAGGTACCTAGCAAATACGTAAGCTATCCAGGTGACAAACCTGTGGATGTGATAGACGAGCAAAGGGATGTTGACTAACAGCGCTGCTATCTGCCAAGTCAGGAGGAAGGAGAGTGTGATGAATGCGTGCAAACAGTATTCGGGAAGCACGAGCTTGAAGACTAAGTAATTAAATTTTTGCATACAGGGTTAAGATTTCGACACTGATCCACTGGATTTTTATAATCCGTTTTAAGTTCATCAAAAGCAATTATCTAAAAAGGATATGCTCACGAACGATAAACCAGATTACGTGATAAATAACAAAAAATATCAAAACAATAGTCAGCAAAAGGGCAACAATATAAGTAACAGCAACAAGTCCGAAACCCATGTTTGAAAATCTGTGTTATGCGAAGTCATGCCGCACTCCTGTTCTTGGCGTATCAGAAGCCACTCTTCGCAAAAACTCTCAAAAGAGCAAATCAATAACAAATCTGCTACTATTGCAAGTATTTGTCGAAAAATTAAAAAAAGTTAAACAATAGGAGCACAGCGAATTTGACTGAACTCTTTCACTTGTTTTGATATTTTGAAATAAGAAGTAATTTTACATAGTATCGGTTCTTCTTTATCATAACAATCATTAAGAGGTCTTCGTTAAATAACACTAAGCCTCTATCAAGTTTTTTCTTCGTTTGAAGGAGCTAAGCTTGCAAACATCATCATTAGATGTCTGTATGAATTCCGACCCATAAAAATGCAGACGAATTGTCTGCAGCTGAGATGGATTGTTGAAAGGTGTGACGAAATTTGCTGACCAGAGCCTTGGGGAACACTATCCTACCATAACCTATGGACTTTACAATATAAACAGGCAGATGGGGTTGGACACCCCATTTGCGCAATCATCAGGACCGGAACACTAGGTAGTGTACGCATCTTGTGTGTATCTCCCCGAGTCTTTCTTATGCTCATAAATGGTCATCGCGCTATGGTAGAAAAAGTATTGCTGGCATGCTGAAGGGCTGAGAGGCTGCTGACGTGGCCCGGAGACCGTGTCTTTTCGTGAAAGTATCCGTTTAATCAATTCTGTATTTAGGCTGACCGTCAAAACATTACTTGGCAACTCTCCTCTTTAGAACGTCGCCTCCAGGCATTCCTTTGGCAAACCCCTCTCATTATCCATTATAACGTAGTCGACGCTTTAAAAAACACTCACAACCTAGGAGCACCAGTCATTGAATTTGCGTGCAACAGAGAATAGATTGAATCCCAGTGTCACTCATAAATCTTGGTAATTACGCTTGATCTAGAGTTCCCACCTGTTTGGGAAATGCATTAAAAAGGGGAAAATTCACTGTACTTACACTGTTGGCGACTGGATGATGACCTACAATGGGTCAATCTCATATCCCTATCGATAGTCGTAAGAACATCGGCCTAAAAGCAGTCATTTGGTAAAAAACGAGGTTTAAAATATTTTTGCCCGAGGGTGGAAGTAAGGATTCAAGTCTATGCCCTTTGCCTCTTTACTCTCAATTCGCTATTGTCCAGCCATAAACTTATCTGGTTTCCATGCGGCTAGTAGATACAAGGAGGAGACGCTGGGTGTCAACTCCATTAACATCTTGATGTAGGTACTGTAAAATAGTTCCGTAGAAAGCTTTTCCATATGGTTTATGGCTACTGTCGCCCGCTGAAACTAAAGGCAGGCGTCATTTTCAACCCTTTTGTTAGGAACCGTCACAGTTTCTTTCATCAGCGGACGATGGTCTTCTTTTGTTACGTTAAGGTTTAGCATGCGGTGGTAGAAATACGGGGTGTATGCCCACTACTACCAATGCAACGCCCTTGTTTATTCCTGAAATGATGTAAGAAATCAAAGCGCTGTGGCAGAAAATGTATTACCAACGTCCAAAAGGTGTGAGAGGCTACTAGCATGGCGCAGAGATATGCATCCTAGTGAATGTACAATCTGCGAGGAATGTAGTGCCCTTGTAATCAAACATGTAATCAAATCACTATATTTTGTCCCTCAGAAAGCTGTTGCGACTTTTGGAGCTCTTGTAAAGAAGCTAACCCAGACCTTGGATAGGTGTTCGTGGGTATTCCCGATCCTTTTTTTCTTTAAGGCTTGTGCCAACCTAATTTCGATATCCTTACACCTCTCTATAATGATGTAGCACAGGAGACAATAAGTATGGAGCCAACGACCTTAGGCGTGTGCCTCAACGTTATTTTGGTCAATCTCCGCCGAGGTAATAATCCATAGAAGATGTTGGATTCATCGATCTGGAGGGACTGGAACCTGCGGTCGATGTTTCTTTTGGGTATAGAGTGTGAGAGCATTGAAATGTTAGCACCGCAGGAAAAATTCTGTGTAAATTTGGAAATCACTACACACCCGCATTACGTAGTTTACTTTCATGCTCATAACTTGACAATTGCTAAGACGGAGCAAAGTTGAGCAGTAATATGGTTATAGATTGTGTCGAACATCTTTTACAATTACGTTGTAGAAAAAAACAACTAGGCCAGCTCAATCATCCACTATGTGTAAAGCTCACAATATGAGTGTGTCAGTGCTTCATAGTTCCAAAAAAGAAAAATGGGCACTTTATTGTAACGCTGGGAGCCTTTCAGAGGAAATGGAGGGCTACTGCCATGACCCGAAGGTCATGCTATCCAGCGGAAGTACACGGACGGTGCCTTTGGTGCCTGTAAACCTAAGACGAAGGGTTAAACAAATAATCAAATGATTACACAACCCCTCTTCTCCTCTTCTGAGCGTCGTCCCCTGGGCTTCCCTTCGTCAACCCATCATGTCTACTATCACATTGTAGTCGGTGCTGTAAGGAAAAGAAGCACGAACCATTCGTGTCAGTAATTGGATACCCTTGCATCTGAGGAGATACTTGACTACAACGTTACCGATCCCCTTTGACAATTTTACTGGATCTGGTATTTCGTCCTGTTTGGGAAGCGTATTGGGGGAGGGGAATGTGTTGGCCATCTCCTTTGCCCATCGCTACTCGTAAGAACACTTGCCCAGAAGCAGAGTCACTTAATAAAGGATGGAGTTTAACAGAGATCTGCGGAATAGAGTTTCGGGTCCATTCCTCCCTGTCACTTTGTTCTCGCTTCAGTGCTACCCAGCCATACCTCTCTGAATTCCATCCAGCTAGTAGAGGGGTGGAGGAGGAGGTATTGCATTTCCATTTGATTGACATCTTTATACAGGTACCGTAGACAGCTTCACAATAACTTTTCCGGATAGTTTTAAGTCTGCTGTCTCTTCAGTTGTTAACAGTATTCCTACACACCACGGGACTGGGGCAGTTGCCAAAGGTGGACGTCATTTTGAACCCTTCCCTCAGAGATTGCCACAGATTCTCCCATCCGCAGCATATGCCCTTCTTTTGCCAGCCAAGTCTTATCATCCAGGTGTAAAAATTAAGATAAATGCCCTTTACGATCAAGTTCGCTTTCTGTTGCCGCTAAAATAGCTCCCCCAGTCTCTCAGGCGGGATTGGCAGGGAGGAGGGAGCACAAAGGCGGAGCCTTCAGTGCCCACGAAACCAAAATGAAGAAATAAACAAATAATCAAAGTATTACCATGATTATGGGGAATATGACTAGATTATGTTCACACGGCTAGAATCGTGACGGACCGGACCAAGGGTAAGGCATTCAATTTTTAGGTATACAGTTTAAGTTTATAAGGCCTTTCCATTAACTTCTTATCTAACGAAAAATTAGCAAAATCAAACGTACGAGTCAGTTTATAGTAAAATAGGAATTAAGGACATTTAAGTGGACTAAAAGGCAGAAAAACTTACCTAAATTTTTGCCTTTGGAACCAAATATAAGGACAATAGAGAGCCAAGTGGTAGGAATATGTGCTGCCATGAGATCGTTGACACTTACTCACCTCCTCCACCTTCCCGAACAAACTCGTAATGCGTCATCAAACGGAATATACATACATACACACACACATACACAAGGTGAAACCGCGACCCTACCAGATTACTACGCACATTCGCCCCTGCCGCCAATGGTGGAGCCTACGACGCTGTGTAGAATTCAGTCACTTGTACACTATTCATGGCCAAAGGCGGTTCTATCGAGGGTGAGAAATTGCGCGGCCTCCAACACCACCGAGCACCCCATCGGGTCTCAAGTGGACTGCAAATAACCTCCGTGGATCCCACCAGCCCTCGAGGGAAAGTGGATGTGGGGACAGCGGCGGTATTAGTGGAGGGGGGGACGGAGACTCCTGCAGATGAGGAGATGGAGGAGGAGACAAGCTGTTTCACTACCAGCCAATCGGTTGTTATAACGCGTTGCCCCGGAGTCACCAAACACGTGGAGAAGGAGATAGTGGAACAGAAAGCCACGAAGGTCAGCAACGCCTTGCAGACGTGCGAGGTCAGTGATGTGATTCAGGGCAGGGCGAGAGAGAAGTTCGAGCTTCAGAGACTCAATGATCGACTTTCAAGTTTCATCGAAAGGGTGAGGCATTGCAAAAATGGAACTTATTTTTTCGAAGAATACCTCAAAATTTTTTTGGCTATTTTAAGCTGTCATAAAGCACGATTCATAAAACTAGTAAGGCTTATGCTGCAGTGTATTTTATTCATTATTTACGAGAGATAAGATGAAAACTGAACGAAGATTTCAAATTTCTGATGCGGAAGAATTTTTACTCATGAATTTGATAAAATCCACTCTAGCTAAACTGGTTTAAGTGGACAACAGAAGCTTTTAAATGGACACATCATCTAATCAAATTGACAAGGGGGGAAAGATGTGCAATTTAAATGAATGGATATAAATTTCCATTTGAGCAGGTAAAGGCGACATTGGAGCTTAAAGAGACGATGGCATTTGAATTACCTCCTGCGTAATAACTATTCTACTGAACTTTGTATGCTACGAGTTCGGTGTTTCATTACCACGGTATTCAACCCCACTTGTACAGGTTCTCAATCCTAAATGTTCAAGGTTTGGCTGCGTAGCTTTTTTCCCTTATAAGAGGTATTTCAATCTTGATAACCTCACCCAACCTCAAGCTTTTTTACTCATTGGCGTCACAATGAAAGATTGCAGCGATGTTATCTTGAAATAGTCTCTACGACCACTCCATAGGCGTTTGTAGACCCATAAGGGGATGGTGATTCTTCGTAGAAGCTATGGGAAAGTGGTCAAGTATGATTCACTATTAACATTACTTAACACGTTAACTTGCTGTTAATGCTCTCATAAAGTTGGTAACTCCCCTAATCGAGGGTTTACTAGAGAACCTTCCACAGAAAGTGATATCAACGTAATTACTCTTGTCAATACTGCTTTGGTAGATCACTTTCGTTTTCAACATGGCAATCGCTAGTTCTTTTACAAACTAGAAAGAAAGTTGACTTGTCTAAATGACGGTCAGGCATGTGTTAATTCTCAGTATTGAAATACGAAAGCACATTCGTTGTTCCAGTCTAACAGGACATTAAGACTTCTCCAATGAGCTTTCAACTGCATTATTGGAAAAGTTCGCTGATCACACTCAAAGCTGCCAACCTTATTTGCGTACTTCATCCAACGGTTGCGAAACTGTTTGCAGATGCCGACTGTGTGTTGCGCAACCTCACACACCCCATTGGCTCATGCAGTTATCACCGCCTCTTGCAGCCAATTGGAGTGCAGACCTTAAGTAATATCGACCTACAAATAACTGCGATTTGCCAACAAATGCGCTGGCGACTCAGGATATATTAATGTCGCGACTATCAGTTACAAAATGCCACTCTACGTTGCCGCACTATGATCATTAATCGTTAGTTACGCATTAGAAGAAGCAGACCTTCTAATATTCCCTGAACCCTTACTCGGGAAGTGGGGATGATAATTCCCACCGGCTTCTCACAATTATACAAACAAATGCGTCTAATTTCGGTGTGTGCACATAAAGTTGTGATTTACGGATTTAAAACAGCAACATCGCGGCTCGGTCTACATCGAAGCATTACTACACAGCGGAATTCTTGCATTCGAGAATCCTATTTTCCGTTTGTAGCGAGACAGCCATATTACCATGCCTTGTGTCAAGAACTACGACTAGCCTGTACAAATATTGTTGCCTATAAATCAACAAAGTTGAGGATAAATTGCACGGCAAAACAAATAGAAGAGCAACAGAATAGCGCTTCATAACTGATGAAATGCATGTGACAAGTAAATATCTGAGTAACCAAACGATTTATGGTGGTCAATCTCACGCCCAAAACTACCACTTGTTAGTGTAACGTTCTCGCTGGCCTTATTTAAAAAAATTCCCCCTCTTATATCCTTGAAAAGTAAAAACAAAAGAAAATAGATAGATAGAATTTGGAACTACGTTTGTAAGCACCTCTATCCATTCCCTACTGGAGCATGAGGATGTCTCAACTGCTTTCTTCAAATGTCCCCAAACGTTGACAAATTATCATTATGAGATTAGTCTTTTTTGTTTCCATAAATCGAATCCATATCTGCCAAGTAATAATGTTTTACAGATTTTTTTATTTTCTTAATAGAAATGCCATTCATTCGAATCCCACGGAGGAATTGCCCACCTTAGACACCAAATGTCAAGAAGGGATGATATATATGCCAGAACTTTTATCCCTGTTTACGGAGGCCTTGATCTTCGTGCTTGGATGTATCACATGCACCACGAGCAGTTTATGCTGGGAAGACAAAACTGTGTTCCAGTCTTTTCGAAAATTCTTTCTCATTTTCTTTGGATACCTTGAAATTTAAGTCTATGCCATGATGTAGTGCCATCATTAAGTGATCTGAGCAAATATTTTTTCCCCAAATCACACTTTTCAGGCAGGTTACAAAGATAAACAGCTTATCATGCACTGGCTTTTAAAAAAAAAAATTTATCGTGCATTGAGCAATGTCGGACGATTATCTTTGGGCTAAACTACCCAATTTATATCACTTCAATCGTAGAGGATGATTTTAACCGTAAATGGGCATTCAGTTTAAGCTTGTTGGTTCTGGACGCTTGGTTCATTTATTCATAATTCTGTGTCTAAAATACGAGGAATTTGTTCTACTTACCGGGGATGGTATTTCCAACCCAAATCTGAGTACATTTCCTGCATTTTTTCCTCCTTCCCATCCACATTTTCTTCTTAAAATGGTTAACATTCTGCGTAAAGGTCCGTCTATTGGAAGCCCACAATCGTAGCCTAGCAAAGGAAGCGTCGAATCTGCGTTCCAACTACAGCGGTGATATCAGTCGTCTGCGCGGTGTTTACAACGCGGACTTGGAACAGCTGCGTGCCTCCTTGGCAGCCTCAGAGGATCGATGTGCGCACTATGAGGTTCGAGCAAAACGCGCCGAGGCGGAGCTCAACGACGTCCAGCAGGTGTACGTTCACTTGAATTCGCCCCCATGCTCACTTGAGGGAAGCATGATTTTCAATTAGCCGGTGTGAATGGTTGCATTATCTACCACACCATACGTTACCACATTTAAACTGTTATAGACCATATACAGCATATAAAGCGGTGCATAGATAAGGCCGAAGAGATGCAAACACTAGAATGAAAAAGATGGCGGAGTAATAAATGAACGATACCTTTCGATAACTAGACTTCGCGCCAAGGAGAAACAAACCGCGTGTGACCAGGAACGCCTGAAGACTCGTACAGAACAACTCAAAGCCGCAGAAAACGAAGTTCAAGAAATTCAACAACGCTGCACCTCGATGGCCGAGGAGAGGGCGAAAGAGACGTGTGAATTTAAACGATTACAGGAGCAGCTGAAGGACGCCTGCCTTGTGAGTTTCGCGGTGATGCGTGGTTTGCAGCAGAGCTTGTTGCAACGCCTTGTTTTGGCCCCCAGTAACTGGTGAAAAGCGATTTTTAATGCAAACTCTGCCACTCAGAATAAGGGTCTTTATTAAGTTCTCCAGCTTCCGCTTTACACCTTTTTGAAACCATCAATTCATGGGATTCGGATCCAAGCTCGTGGCTGTGGTTCCAGTCTCAAGGTGGCCTCACGAACTGAGTCTGAGGCTATTCTTA